CCCGGACCACCACGGCTCCTCTCTTCTCGAGAATCTATACATCCCTTATCAGTGTATGGACAGCTATCTCTCGAGCACAGTTTTAGGTTCGGCCTCAATAAGAAAATAAAATGGAGCACCTAACAACGCATCTTCACAAACCAAGAACTACGAGATCACCCCTTTCATTCTGGGGTGACGGAGGGATCGTACCATTCGAGCCATTTTTTTCTTGACTCAAAATGGGAGCTTTCGGCAGATCGCTTAGCCCCGTTCATCTTCGGCGGTGTGTGCAGCCACTTAGTGAGGAGCCAAGACCGGAGAGAAGAAATTCTCAATGACTCATTCACATCCAGATCATGAATGTTTGGAATCCATAATATGCAAGGAGACATTGGTTTTGCTAATTTGAATTGAAGGGTGGTATAAAATCGATCTATTTTCTGCATCATATCCATAGTTAGCCCATTCATCCTAGTTAGCAGTTCCATCTTCATATCAAGGTCACGATCGATATCGTCACTAGCATCAAGATTGTCACTATCATCAATATCGTCACTATCATCAATATCGATCTCATCAAGAAGAAAACCTTTAGGCTTGTTATCTAGGAACTAGTTCAGAAATACCGTAATGAAAGGAACATAGGATTTTGTCGCTAGGTATTTGACCAAATAGGATCGTCCAGTTCCTATAGAACCTATCACTAAAATACCCCTAGAGAGGGATAAGGCTAAGCGGAGCGAAAAGGGTTTTCTCTCTCTTAAGAAGGGACGATAGCCTATTGTGTGATTCTTTGAAATAACAAGCTTGTCCTACCCGTATGTACGGAGTATAACTTATGTTTCCCTTGTTTTTGTAAACCTCGGACGATATCGGACCGGGACTCGAGCTCGAGATCCAACGGGCGAAGTAAGTTGTCAGCCCATAAGAAGCCCAAACTCGGCTAACGATGAAACTAAGCATGAGGCTACCAAATATGAAGTCGTCGTTTGAGTACGGGACAAAACGAGTCGTTCTACAGCGCCCCTCTTCCTTCGCCAACCAATCAGGTCAAGGTAACAGACGATTTCGTTTGGTTTTAACTTGTTATTTTCCTTTTTTGGATTGGGATAGGAACATGATCATTCTCCCAGGTGCGCGAACAAGGAACAAACGCCACCAAAACAACACGCTAGGAAAACATTCCGCACCATATCGTCCCGCCGGCAACGGTCGAGCAAAACCCCCCACACCGTACCATATTGTGAATAACAGACAAACGACTCTGAACAAGCCAGCATTATTAAGAAACAATCTCCATAACCTGGGACTGGGCAGTGAGCCCATGGAACGTACAGTCTCTCCAACACAGACAAAACATGAAAATAAAAAGCTTGCACGTATGCTCGCCATGGCAATCCTCTGCCGGTTCAGCCGACTAAATACTACGAATCACGTCCGAACTTCGTTCAATTCATAACGGGTTATAATTCGACCTCGCTCGAATTTAAACCCTTACGGTCCCTGGCCATCGCCAAGTGAAGGTAAAGTTCGACCTCGTTCGAGTTCATAACGTTTTACAATTCGACCTTGCTCGAATTTACACTTGAAAACTGACTCTCCCAAGCTGGCAAAGCAAAATTCGACCTTGCTCGAGTTTACAAGTCTAAACTGACTCCGCCCAAGCTGGCAAGTCAAAATTCGACCTTGCTCGAATCTACAGGTCAAAAGTAACTTCGCCCAGACTGGCAGGACAAAAACTCAAGCTCACTCGAAGTTGTATTCTTACGGCCCCCGGCCATCGCCAAGCGAAAGTAAAACTCGACCTCATTCGAGTCAACAATCCAAAGTTCGATCTCGCACGAACTCATAATAGGTTACAATTCGACCTAGCTCGAATTTACACCCATACGGCCCCCGGCCACCGCCAAAGAGAAACTCGACTTTCATTTAAGATATTATACTCTCGTAGCCAGGAAGAGCATGACTAGCATTTGCAGATTGTGTTGCAGCGGTTGAGAGAGGAGAAACTTTATGCCAAGTTCTCCAAGTGTGAGTATTGTCTCAGTTCAGTGGTATTCTTTGGACACGTGGTGTCCAGTGAGGGTATTCAGGTAGATCCGAAGAAGATAGAGGCGGTTCAGAGTTGGCCCAAACCGTCCTCAGCTACAGAGATTCAGAGCTTTCTTAGTTTGGCTAGTTATTATCGTCAGTTCGTGCAAGGTTTCTCATCTATTGCATCGCCCTTGACCAAATTAACCCAAAAGGGTGCTCCTTTTAGGCGGTCTGATGAGTGTGAGGAGAGCTTTCATAAGCTCAAGATGGCTTTAACCACAGCTCCAGTTCTAGTTCTACCATCAGCTTCTGGTTCTTATACAGTATATTGTGATGATTCTCATATCAGTATTGGGTATGTTTTGATGCAGGAGGGTAGAGTGATCGCTTATGCTTCCCGCCAGTTGAAGCCCCCATGAGAAGAACTACCTTGTTCATGATTTGGAGTTGGCTTCCATTGTTCATGCGTTGAAGATTTGGAGGCACTATCTTTATGGTGTGTCTTGTGAGCTATTTACTGATCATCATAGCCTCCATCACTTGTTCAAATAGAAGGATCTTAATTCGAGGCAGCGGAGATGGTTGGAGCTGCTAAAGGACTATGATATTACTATTCTGTATCATCCGGAAAGGCCAATGCCTTGAGTAGGAAGGCAGTGAGTATGGGAAGTTTGGCATATATTCCTGTTGGGGAGAGACCTCTTGCGGTTGATGTTCAGGCTTTGGCCAATCGGTTTGTGAGGATGGATATTTCGGAGCCCAGTCGGATCCTAGCTTGTGTGGTTTCTCGGTCTTCCTTGTTTGATCGTATCAGAGAGCGCCAGTATGATGATCCTCATTTGCTTGTCCTCAAGGACAAGGTTCAGCACGGTGATGCCAGAGATATGACTATTGGAGATGATGGTGTGTTGAGGATGGAGGGCCGAATTTGTGTGCCCAATGTAGATGGGCTACAGGAGTTGATTCTTGAGGAGGCCCACAGCTCGCGGTATTCCATTCATCCGGGTGCCGCGAAGATGTACCAGGATTTGAGACAGCTCTATTGGTGGAGAAGGATGAAAAAGGATATAGTTGGGTTTGTAGCTTGGTGTCTCAACTGTCAGCAGGTAAAATATGAGCATCAGAGACCAGGTGGCTTGCTTCAGAGGATAGGGATTCCGGAGTGGAAGTGGGAACGGATCACCATGGATTTCATAGTTGGGATCCCACTGACTTCGAGGAAGTTTGATACTATTTGGGTGATTGTGGACCGGCTGACCAAGTTCGTGCACTTCATTCTAGTGAGTACTATTTATTCTTCATATCGGTTGACTGAGATTTACATCAGAGGGATTGTTTACCTACACGGTGTGCCAGTTTCCATCATTTTAGATAGAGGCATGCAGTTTACATCGCAATTTTGGAGAGCCGTGCAGCAAGAGTTGGGCACTTAAGTGGAGTTGAGTAAAGCAATTCACCCTCAGACGGACGGACAGTCCGAGCGCACTATTCAAATACTGGAGGCTACGCGCTTGTTTCATTGATTTCGGGGGTTTATGGGACCAGTTTTTGCCGCTCACGGAGTTTTCTTACAACAACAGTTATCATTCGAGCATTCAGATGGCTCCGTATGAGGCTTTATATGGGAGACGGTATAGATCTCCGGTGGGTTGGTTTGAGCCGGACGAGGCTAGGCTATTGGGTACTGATTTGGTTCAGGATGCTTTGGACAAGGTTAAATTGATTTAGGAGCGGCTTCGCACGACGCAGTCGAGACAGTAGAGTTATGCTGGCGGGAAGGTCCGTGATGTGTCTTATATGGTCAGGGAGAAGGTTCTTCTGAAGGTTTCACCCATGAAGGGTGATATGAGGTTCGGGAAGAAAGGCAAGTTGAGCCCTCGGTTCATGTTTCTATGCTCCGGAAGTACATCGGCGATTCGTCTCATGTTTTGGATTTCAGCACGGTTCAGTGAGATGGTGATTTGACTTATGATGTGGAGCCGTTGGCCATTTTGGAGCGGTAGGTTCGAAAGTTGAGGTCTAAGATATAGCTTCAGTGAAAGTGCAGTGGAGAGGTCAGCCCGTGGAGGAGGCTACTTGGGAGACCGAGCGAGAGATGCGGAGCATATATCCACGCCTATTTATGGCTCCAAGTATGTTTCTAGACCCGTTTGAGGACGAACGCTTGTTTAAGAGGGGAGGATGTAACGATCCGGCCGGTTGTTTCGAGAGTTGTAGCCCCGTTCCCCCATTTTCTGCTCCTTTTGTGTTGTACAGATGTATTTTGATTTATCGGGTTAGTTGGTTCTGGTCCGGAGTGATTTTAGAATGAATTGAGACACTTAGTCTCCTAATTAAAAGCTTAAGTTGGAAAAGTTGACCGGATATTGACTTATGTGTGAACGACCTCGGATTTGAATTTTGATGGTTTCGTTAGCTTTGTTAGGTGATTTTGGACTTAGGAGCACGTCCAGATTGTGATTTGGAGGTCCGTAGTAAATTAGGCTTGAATTGGCGAAAGTTGGAATTTTAAAAAGTTTGACCGGGGGTGGACTTTTTGATATCGCGGTCGGATTGGATTTTCGGAAGTTGGAGTAGGTTAGTGGTGTCATTTATGACTTGTGTGCAAAATTTGAGGTCAATAATGCGTGATTTGATAGGTTTCGGCGTCGATTGTAGAATTTGTAAATTTTGAATTTTATTAGGCTTGAATCCGTGTGTAATCCGTGTTTTTGATGTTGTTTGAGGTGATTTGAGGACTCGACTAAGTTCGTATTGGGTTATAAGACTTGTTGGTATGTTTGGTTGACTCTCGGGGGCCTCGGGTTGATTTCGGGTGGTTAACAGACTTGGAATGGAAGTTTGAGGAATTGTTGAAGTTGGTCTGTTGCTGGTGTAATTGCACCTGCGAGGGCATTAGTAGCAGGTGCGATGCTGAAGTGCGGCAGGGTTGGCGCAGATGCGGAGTTGGGGCTGGCCTGGGGTAAACGCAGGTGCGAAGGAGAATGAGTATCTGCGAGCCTGCATATGCGAGAAGGGCTCCGCAGATGCGGAGTAGTGAGGCGAAGGCTGGTTCCGCAGAAGCGAAGAAAGGGACCAAGAAGCGCGTCCGCAGGCGCGGAACCTGGAGCGCAGGTACTGGCCATGGTGGCTTAAATGGCTTCCGCAGAGGCGGGGCATGGACCGCAGAAGCGGTTCTGCAGGTGCGGATATGAGGCCGCAGGTGCGAAAATCCTGGGCAGAAACTATAAATACGAGACTTCGAGATTTTTCACCATTTTCATCACTTTGATTTCAGACTTTGGAGATTGTTTAGAGGGTTTTTGAAGGGATCACTGAGGTAAGCTCCTTGTGTTCATTTTTTTTTCAATAATGATGTTTCCCCACTGATTTTACACCTAGTTGGTGAGTTTTTGAAGTGAAAATTGGGGTTTCGGACTAGGGATTTGGAGAGTAAATTTTGGGGATTTGGATGACCAGAAGGTGTCGGATTTTGGTTAAATTGGTATGGTTAGACTTGTGAATGAATGGGCTTTTGGGTTTTGTAACTTTTGTCAGATTTCGAGACGTGAGCTCGGGGCCCGGGTTTGAGTTGATTTCGGATTTTGAGCTATAATCTCGTATTGTTCTTATGGAATTGATTCCTTTATCCCGTATTAATCATATTATATTGTTTGTGGTTAGATTCGGGACATTTGGAGGCCGTCTCTCGAGGCAAAGGCATTTTGGAGTAGCGTTTTGCTCGGATTGAGGTAAGTAATAGTTATAAATCTGGTCCTAAGGGTATGAGACCCAGAATTCATGTGTTATGTGATTATTCTGGAGGTGGTGCACATGCTAGGTGACGGGCGTGTGGGCGTGCACCGTAGGAATTGTGACTTGGTCCGTTCTGTGGAACTGTAAGGTTTAATAACTTGTTGTTAGCTATATGCCCTCTATGTGTCATAGAAATTTGACTGAAAATCATGTTAGAAACCATGTTTAGGCTATATGTTGGTACTGTTGGGACCCACAGAGGTCGCTTTATATGTTGAATTGCCTACTAAATGTTATTTGTACTCAGTCGCAGTTTTTACTCGCATATCATATCTCACTTTCTGTTATTCTTATTGATACATCATGTTATTGCTGTTTGGGCTGATTTTCCTGATATCTGAGAGCCCGGGAGACTGGAGAGATTGATGACGGAGTAAGGCCGAGAGCTTGATTGTGAGGGTATTTATGGGATTGGGCTGCATGCCGCAGCATGTTTCATTGATTTATGCCATGATTGACTTGATATAGCGCTTGGACTGTAGGAGCACCTCCGGAGTCTGTACACACTCCCAATTGAGTGCAGGTACCTACTGAGTGCGAGTGCGAGTGCCGAGTGCCAAGTGATGAGTGATCGTGAGGAATGAGTGACTGTGAGGAATGAGTGATTCTGAGGTTTGAGTGAATGGGAGGGCTGAGTGATGATTGCCCTAAGAGGCTGCATATGATTTCATTATTGATGCACACAGTTGCCCTATATCATTGTTTTGAAAACTTCTGAAGGATATTTATGCGGTTTATACTTGAACTTGACTTAAACAAACCTATTTGACTTGATTTACCGGATTCTGGAAGCATGTCTATTTTCCTTGCTGAGACTACTGAAAATGCAATATATCTGTGTAGCTCGTCACTATCTTTCAGTTTCTTATTTATTATTGTTACTTACTGAGTTGGTTGTACTCACACTATACCCTGCACTTCATTTGCAGATCCAGGAGTTTTTGGACGTGGAGGGTGTTAATAGTTCCCCAAGCTGATCGTTGGAGATAGCGAGGTAGTTGTCTGGCGTTCACAGACCTTGCTTTCTTCTTCCTTATCTCTCCTTTTTGTTGTATTTGGTTTCAGACTGTGATAGTCGTGTTATTTCCAGACCGGTTATGTTTAGATGCTCATGACTTAGTGACACCCCGATGTTGAGGCTATTTTTCCTGCACTTGTATTTTGAGTTTAAACCATGTTTTCGAAAACTCTGCTTTATTTACGAACTTTTGATTTACCCTTCTGTGCAATATTGGAAGTGTTTTCGAAATGTCGGATTGCCTAGTACTATCGATAGGCTCCATCACGAGAGGTTAGGATTTGGGATGAAAGTAGCAGAGATGCGGATGCTGAGGTGGATGTGCGGGCACACTAGGATAGACAAGATTAGGAATGAAGATATTCGGAATAAGGTGGGCGTCGCCCCTGTGGATGACAAGATGCGGGAAGCGAGGCTCAGATGGTTCGGGCACGTGCAGAGGAGAAGCCTTGATGCACCGGTGAGGAGGTGTGAGCGGTTGGCCGTGGTGGGTACGAGAAGAGGTAGAAGGAGACCTAAGAAGTATTGGGGAGAGGTGATCAGGCAGGACATGGAACGACTGCAGATTTCCGAGGACATGGCCCTTGATAGGAAGGCCTGGAGGTCAAGCATTACGGTTGTAGGATAGGGGTAGTAGAGCTTTCCTTACTTCATACCGGGGGTGAGGCGGGGTTGGATTAGGGTTGATCTTAGATGGCTTGCAGTTTATTTTGAACCCACACTATTCTTGCTGTTTATCTTAGCCCCGGACCTTAGACTCTGGTTACTGTTATTGCATGTCATCCATCTTTTGATTTTTATGCTTCTGTTACTATTACGGTTTCTACTGGAGTTACTAATGAATTCTCTTTTCTTGTTTTTATCTCCGTCTTTCTGAGCCGAGGGTCTATCGGAAACAGTCTCTCTGCTCTCTCTGCCCTATCGGGGCAGGGGTAAGGCCTGCGTACACATTACCCTCCCCAGACCCCACTATGTGAGATTTTACTGGGTAGTTGTTGTTGTTGTTGTTATTGTTGTTGTGATTATGTATAACAGCCCTACATAGTTTATATGGGAGAATTACCAGAAGATGCAACCTTATTGTTGGATGAACATCACAGCTTGCTTTCAGAGGCTATTGGAGAGTAAATACTTAAATCCTTCTTCAAATAAATCCAAATATATTTTTCTTTAACAGTAAAATAATTTTTTATTGTATATGTTTAATTTTTTATTAATGATTTTTAAATTTCAGCGAGGCGATAGCTAGAGAATCTAAGATACATAGTTATGGAAGGAGTTTCAATGCATTTGCAGCGAGATTGTTGCCTGATGAAGTAGAAAGATTATCGCGTACATAATAATATCCTCCCTCCGTTTTAGTTTATGTGAATTATTTCCTTATTAATCTGCTTAAAACATAATTACATATTTTTATATTTAAAAAAAATATTTAACTTGAAATTTCTCATTTTATCGTTAATGTCACACCGCACACGGATGTTATAATGTGTTTTAGATCACAAGTCTTATAGCTATACAAAAATTTATACCAGCATATATAACACGTTTCAAAAGTCATCTATTATTTCCTAAATTACGTGCATAATCAAATTACGTCTCATGAAGGGACCCTTTGAGCAACGGTAAAGTTGTCCCCGTATGACCTATAGGTTCGAGCCGTAGAATCAGCCATTGATTGTATCCGGGTAGGCTACCTACATCACACTATTAGCTTTAGAGTGCGGCTCTTCCCCGGATCCTGCATGGACACACGATGTTTCGTGCATCGGGCTGCTTTTTTTTTTTTTTTTAAATTTAAAATCAAATTACATCACATATATTGAAACAGAGGGATTAGTATATCAACTTCAAAAAGTTTTTGGTTCTTTCTACGTACTAACTGAATTTCCCATATTCTACAGAAAAAGAAGGAATTGTGTCTGTATTTCCAAATACGGTGAGAAGACTTAGAACAACAAGATCTTGGGATTTTATTGGAAAGACAGAGACAGTACAAAGGAATCAACAAGCTGAGAGTGATACAATTGTTGGAGTCTTAGATACAGGTTAATTATATATACAAAAAGAATAAAAATTAATTCATACTTATTTTTTGGAGAAGTCACGGGTTCAAGCCGTGGAAACAACCAGCCTCTTGCAAAAGCGCAAGGTAAGGCTGCATACAATATACCCTTGTGGTCCGGCCCTTCCCCAGACCCGCGCATAACGGGATTTTAGTGCACGGGCTGACCCTTTTTATTGTTTGATTTGTGTTTTAACTTTGTAAATTCTTTTTCACCTTTTTTATTTTTTGATTTTTCTTTTGATTTCATAGGTATATGGATGGGATCACAAAGCTTCAATGACACAGGATTTGGACCTCCCCCTGCTAAATGGAAGGGCAAATGTGATCAGGGTGTCAATTTCACTGGTTGCAACAAGTAAAATAATTTACCATCTAATTTACATTTATAGCCATTTTAGAAGATTCTATATGATTATCCTAACAATATTACAATTAAGAGAAAAATTCACGCTTTAAATTTAACGAGTTCAACTTGTAAAGTTCTTACTAGTAAGTATACTGCACTTTTTAAAATTATGAATCCGACAATCAAAATTTGATACTCGAGTCAAACTTATATATATACTTGACAGAATAACGAATTTTTACTGGAAAATAAGACTGTATAGCCGCTCTTAAAATAATAGCCAAAAAATATTTTTTTGTATATTTGTTTGTATATATATACATTCTGTATGTTATATACAAAAATTATACAAATTTTATATATTTTTTTGGCTACTGAATGTAAATAGTTTCTTGCGTGGGTTAGGATTGATAATACCTCAATTTTTACCCTACTTTAACTAGTTGTAGACTTGTAGGACAGAGGCAAACCTAGGATTCGGTGGTCTCGGGGGCACTATGACATTCAATATAAATTTATTACTGCTCATAAAGATTAATACGGGAGCCCATGCTAATATATGACTATTTCTTGAAGACATTTGCAAGTATATATAGAGTCTTTACCGAAGTTTCTGGGTTCTAGTAACCCCACTACCTATTAGTAGATAACTTGCCTTATCTTCTAAATTCTAATCTCACTTTTTTTTTTCCGGATGGTTACTTGTATATATATATATTTTATACACTTTTTGGCTATCAAATGCAATTAGTTTCGACTGAAGCCAAACTTTGTATTCACTAAAAGGATTCAAAAAATAAAAAAAAAGTAAACGCACAAAGAAGCTCAGGAAATCCAACATCTGATATATATAACTTTCGAAGAAGGGGGTTCGGCTGAACCCTCTTCTTCTACCTCCGTCCCTGGTTATAGCAATATTGGATTGGAATTTCAATTTAAATGATGTTTTTGATTAATACTCTTATGCAGTGGTTGTGATGATGGTAGTTTAGATGGGAGCAAAGTGAAAGGAAACATAGTTTTATGCCTTGAAAATAACGATCAAGATGCCATTATACAAAAATATGGAGGTGCTGGAGCTATAATGTCAACAGATGATTTTTCAGACACAGCTATGTCCACTGTTATACCAGCAACATATGTTCATGAAGCTGATGGTCACAAGATTAATCTCTACATCAACACCACTAAGTATGTTTTCATCTATTTTCCCAACAATTTTGAATGAAAAACTATAACTTGTTTTTGCAATTTCTCCGAGTGACCTATAGGTCACTGGTTCGAGCTTTGGAAGCTGTCATTAATGCTTGCATTAGGGTAGATTGTTTACATCACATCTCTTAGGATACGACCCTTACCCGGACCCTGCATGAACGCGAGATGCCTTGTGAACTGGGCTGTCATACTGACACGTCACACACGGTAGGGGTAAGCGTTGCGTACACTCTACCCTCCCTAGACCCCGGCCCACTTGTGGGATCATACTGAGTATATTGTTGTATATATATATATATATACCACAATACTTTGCAATTTCAAAAAGCTAGAGGGCAGCACGGTGCACCAAGCATCCCGTATTCACGCAGGGTAAGAATAGCCGTCCCCTCAAGGGCAGGGTCTAGACAGTCTACCCTAATGCAAGCATCAGTGGTTGATTCCATTGAGCGAACGCGTGACCTTAGGTCATACGGAGACAACTATATCTGGAGGATTTATAAAGCTACAGAATTTAACTTATATATACAGTATACTGATATCTCTCTTTTGTATTCGTGACAATTGATTTGTAGGTCACCAACAGCAACAATATTTAGATCAAGAACAATTAACATAACCGCACCCTTTATACCTTCTTTTTCAAGTAGAGGACCTCAAACTATCAGTCTCAACATACTTAAGGTTTGCTTCTTACCTTGATCTTCCTTTAACACTTCACTATTTTTCTCTTATATCAAGAGGATTCGACAACTTTTATATATATATATATATATATATATATATATATATATATATATATATATATATATATATATATATATATATATATATATATATTGACAGAGTAAATAATGTTTACTCTCTTTATATTCATGACAATTATTTAAGAATGATATTTTTTTTCTTTTTTGTATAGCCTCATATTGCTGCTCCAGGATTAAGTATATTAGCTGCATTTTCTGAAGTAAGAAAATATAATTTGATTTGGGGAACATCAATGTCTTGTCCTCACGCTGCTGCTGCAGCTGCCTATGTTATTAAGACTTTTCATCCTGATTGGTCCCATGCTGCTATCAAATCTGCTTTAATGACCACTGGTGAGATTTTTCATTCATTTTATTTATTTTTTGTATACTTTTAATTTATATGACATACTTTGATTGGACGCAAAATTTATTTATTTTTAAATTTATATTCTTAAATATGAGATAGTATTCTTGTGCCTATGAAAACTCATCATTAGGGTTAAAATGAGTAGTTCAAGTTAAATTATTTAAAAACTTTAAAAAGATATTATTGTGTTTTTAATTGACTAATAAGAAAATAATGTCATTCTTCGTGGAACAGAGGGATGTACCGTTTTTAAGCTTATAAAAAGCGTGATTTCACATCGTTTCGCAAAAAGCCTTTCTTATGTATGTGCACATGAATATTTTTTCTTTTTCTCTTTCTCTCTATATATATATGTAGAGAGAGAGAGTAAAGCCTTAAAATGAATATATTCGTGGAAAAAATTTACTCACTAGAAGACTTATAATAATAAAGCGGCGCCACTCTACATAAAAATCTTATGTACGTCATTGTCATCAGGCATCTCATGTTTCGATAGGACTACTATACTTACAACACTCATATATAATGTCTCAAGTTTCAGTGATCATGTTGTGCAATGTATTATTTATCAAATCAATGGAAGATTTTTCATTTATTTGAGACATTCGATATTTATCCCAACTTAGACGTAATTGTTATCATTGTTTTGTTATTGAGACGTTTAAATACTTACCAAAGTTACATTGAATTTTCATTTTTAGCCAAACCAATGAAGATTGAAGCAGAGGAGAAAGAATTAGCTTCAGGCTCAGGACAAATAAATCAAACAAGTGCATTGGACCCTGGAGTGACTCTATTCATGTTGTGAAGAGTCCTATCCTTGTCTATAGGTCATTGTCTAGTAGTATATGAAAGGTTAGAAATTAAAAAGAAAAAAAGTTAGTCTTTGGCATAACTGGTAAAATTGCTGTCATGTGATCAGGAGGTCACGGGTTCGAGCCATGGAAACAAGCTCTTGCAAAAATGCAGGGTAAGACTGCGTATAATAGACCCTTGTGGTCCGGCCCTTCCACGAACCCCGTACATAGCGAGAGCTTAGTGCATCAGACTTTCCTTTTTATGTTTATAATTAGCTTCAATTGATTTTGCTGCAAAATGTGTTTGAGAAGTATCTAAGACTGCTGGAACATATCAAGCTATTTTTGGTCAATTTAACCAATTGTAAAGATTTCCCCAAATGAAAGATTGCCGTTTGACCTTTTGGGCATTCATTTGGAAGGCTAAATATTAATATTTTTTTTTATCCAAACCATATTTCTTGGATTCAACATTTGACTGATGTGACTCATCAAAGAACAATACAATCTACCTTCATTGCTTGCTTTTTTTGGCTTAATTATTCGGTATTCGATATACACTAGCCTGATTAATATTCTAGATCCGTGTCCTTCAAAGGGGAAGTACTCCTAATTAGGAATTTTTTGTTCAATCTGAGATTTATAATTAAGATGAAGGGATCTCATTCGTCCTATAATATTCTTTTTGTTAGAGATTTTGATGCACATAAATTGTTTTATAGTGAACTCAAAAGTACTCTAATAAATCAAGAAGACTGACATTTGTAACACGAATACTTAAAATATCATTTTGTTTAGCACAAAAATCGCATAAATATTATGACATGTATTACTCAATAACAAGATTCAGAGTCCACATTCATTTTAACACAATTTAATAAAACACAATAAAAAAATATCAATTTTTGCGATTGACGCCTAATTTTGTAGCCATTTCTAGCCTTTTCTTGGTCCAGCATATGCATCTATGAGCAATACAAACAGGTGCCAAAGTAGGAGGACAGTGTGCTTCGCAATCCTTCGGATTATCACATTCATGTACTGCCGCCACCTTAAATGATGGAATATCTGCAACTACATAAAAAAAAAATTCAAACAATTAAATATTTCACATATGATTATCATTTCTTTTTTTTTTCTCTTTGCTCTAATATATTATAATAAAAGAGCAGTCTGGTGTACAAAGCTCCGCTATGCGCGAGGTCCCGGGTAGGCCGAACCACAAGGGTCTATTGTACGCAGCCTTACCCTGCATTTCTGCAAGAGGCTGTTTCCCCGGTTCTAACCCGTGACCTCCTGTTCTAAGATATTAGAGTGAAAAACAAAAATTAAAAGAAATTTCTACGAGGGGATTGGAAGTTCAAGTAATGAGAAAATAAGAAAAAGAAACAAACCCATTGTGATCAACAACAAAGCAACAAAGAAAGCAGACTTCATAAGAGCTTTGGCCATATTTTATCTCTACTATTGCACTTTTTAAAGGAAAATAATATTATAACTTAATTTTGTATGGTTTGGAGCAAGGTCTTGTTTAGCATTATATAGGGGTAGAGGCAATTAGGCAAAGCCTAGTTGAGATTTAATGTAATCTCATGAAATTAAGATTAAGTAATTTAGTGACCATATTTCATATAAGACCAAATTACCTCATTTTTTGGGTCCACACTTGGTCAGCAATTGAATAATACATATGCCAATAAAGATAAGTAATTAATGTCATTAGCCAATATGCAATGACTATATGGATAAGTACACAAAAGTGAATTCTTTTTTCGAGTTGACTCAAATTTTTGATTTTTTAAAAGGGAAATAGTGGATTTTCTCTTTTCTAACAGAGAAAAGAAACTAAAAAATATTCTTTCAGTTGAAATTGAGATTTTTTTTCTATCCTCCAATTTTATTTTATAAAATTTGAAACTTAAGTAAGTACTTTTTAAACATATGTATAAAATAACAAATTTTATTTAATTTAGCCTGTTCATGCAACTATAACTAGTTATTTCGGTTTTTTTATTAGTGACTTTAACTATAACCTCAACTCTATTTATTGTTTTGAGCAAGATACGACATATTTAAACTAAATATTTAAAATAAACAGTTCATAAAAAAATTCCTTCTATAGGAATACATGTATTTTATATTTTCTTACGTTGCCCATTGTCAATTCTTGATAATTATCATTGAATTCATGTCCATCGCGAAATAATATAAAGGTATCAATATTACCTTTTTTCTTTCTTTTCGGACAAATAAAAGTGATTGAAGTTTTTCTATTTAAAATCATGTGAGGTCTAATTCTTATTATTTTGGCTGGATTATTCGTAACTGTATATTTATAATATAGGTTTGGTGATCAGTTGGACCTTTAATTAATTAACATCTCTTTATGACTAACCTCCTCTTTTCTTTAATTCACAGGCAAAGGAGGTCAAATTTCGATTGTTGTGATAATTACTGAATGAATCTATTTTATTCTAATTCGATCCAAGAGCATTATGATTGAATTCCTGGTGCTTCAAAATTCTAGAAATTGTCAGGAGCTTGCTTAAAAAATCTGGTGGGGGATTATTTTTCTTAACGGGATCAAATTATAAATGGTAGTTTATACTAGCCGCCAACTCAAAAAAAATAAATGGATGTATTATATATGTTAGACTATTAGTGTGCAAAATTATTAAACTATTGATGTATTTTTGTATGTTGTAGAAGGTAATTTTCTGGCTTACTAATCCGACGTTTTTGTGAATTCTGTATAAATTCTTTCGTGGGATCGTAATAACTCTTTTATACTATCGAATTAAAACTCATAAATAAAACATCACAGAGTAAAAAGGCTTTGTTGGGCAGTTGATGATTTGATGGGGTGCAAAACGCAGTAATAAACTCAAAATTTCCAAAAGTGCTGTACTTCATAAATAAATCGAGCGGAATAACAATGGTAAGAAGACGACTAATTAATAAATGAGTTTATATAGCATCAGCATAATTATGCCAATTAAAACATGTATATAGCTGGAAATGATAGTTTTTTCCATTTGGGAAATCTATCAAACAGTTGGAAGATATGAATTTGCATGCCCGCCATGACCAAGTGCAGCTTCGCCAAGCTTTCTCATCTTGTGAAAGCATATGCAAAAACTATGAAAAACACAAATTGGCGTCCGACCTTTATTTTGATTTTTCTAGAAGAACTATAGTCGATCCCAATTTATTAAGAATTGAAGCGTAATTGATGTTGTTGTTATTGATTCTGAGATTTGTTATATTTTATATATAATAATTAAGAGAGAAACAAAAACAAAAGAGAAACAAACCCATGGTGATTAGTAACAAGGCAATCAAGAATGAAGACTTCACAAGAACCTTAGCCATGTTTTATGTCCACTACTATACTTTTTAAAGAAGATAATATTATAAATTTTTTATGATTTGGAGCAAGGTTTTGTTTAGTATTATATAGTGGTTTAACTAACGTAAAAAGATTTTTAAAAAAAAGGTAAACTCTTAAATTTTAGGATCTAATTTGGAGAATTCTCAATGAAGTTATAAATATATTCCCATAAAATTTAATATCTTCAGGATATCAATTTAAATTATAGGATCTAATTTAGGGAATTCTCAATACAAAAATATTTTTCCTTAAATTTTAATATCTTCTGGTTATTAACTTTTAAAACTATGCAAAATTAAAACTATTGATTCCTCAAAAATGCGTATTTAGAAATTGAGTAGCTATCCTAATTAGGAGCTCTGAAGTGAAACCAAAAAAAAATGATTTTCCCATTAAAAATTAATTAATTTACCAATTCTTTAATAAAATCACAAGGATCTACAATTAACACATTTGATAATAAAGACAAACATTAAGAACAAGGCGACTAAGTCGTCACTGAATCTAGTCGCCAATATGTTAAAGAAGCTCTTTTAGTGGCCACTAATTAAGTCGTTACGGAATGTTGGTCGCTAATACTAAAGGCGATAAAAGTGGCGACTAAGTCGTTAGGTTGGTCGCAATAATAAATGCGACTTAAAGAAGTACCTTTAGTGGCGACTTAGTCGTCATTGAAGGTTGGTCGCCAATACTGAAGGAGACAAAAAGAAGCACTTTTAGTGGCAACTAAGAGTCCGTTTGGATTAGCTGATGGTAAATAGCTGATAAGCTTGAAATGCTGAAACGAATTTTTTTAATAAGCATTTACGTGTTTGGATAGACGTGCTGAAATTGATAATAAGCATTTGATGTGTTTGGTAGAAAAGTGTTGATAAGTTGTTCTTTTGTTAAAATGACTAAAATATCCTTAAAAACATCAGAAAAGATTGTAAATTTAAAAATTTCTTTGTAAAGAAAATGATGAACAACGAATATGGAATGAAAAGAAAGTTAGAAAATTTATTTTTGGAAAAATATTTTGTGAATTAAAAAATATATTAAGGATAAACTAGTAAAAGTTTTGGTCAAACTAAATATGCTTATAAGCTGAAAAGCAATTAGTTGGGGGTGACCAACTTATGACTTATGACTAATTTTAGCTTATAAGCACTTGACTTATAAGCACTTTGGGTATTACCAAACGCGTAGATAAGCCAAAATGTGCTTATAAGCCAGTTTGACCAGCTTATAAGCTTAGCCAAACACCCTCTAAGTCGTCGCGAAGGTTGATCGCCAATATTAAGCGACTTAAAGTAGTACTTTTAGTGGCGACTAAGTCGTCACTGTTGGTTAATCGCAATTACTACGGCGACTTAAAGAAGCCCTTTTTGGTGGCGGCTAAGTCGTCACTGAAGCATCGTCGCCTATATATACGAAAGGCCACACATCGAAGCACTTTTGGTGGCGCCTTCCTTGTCACTGAATGTAGGTCGTCACTAAATAGATCGTCACTAAAAATTTTATTACATGTAGTGTGAGTTGTTGAAGCCAAGTAAATTATTTTTAAAATTATTACTTTTCTCATAGAAAATATTAGTTAATCTAAACTATATTTATTTTTATTTTATATATAATTGTTTT